ATTTGGGGTTTGCATGTGTTAGCCAGAGGTCTCCAAAGAAACAGAACCAATGGGAGATATATATATTGATTTTGATATATATTTATTATAGGAATTGGCTCAAATGGTATAAAAAGGGATTTATTATAAGGAATCGGCTAACATGATTATGGAGCCTCAGAAGTCCCACCATCTGCTGTCTGCCAGCTGGACACCTTGGAGTGCTGGTGGTACAATTTAGTATGAGTCCGAAGGCCTGTAAACATGGGGATCTGATGGCATGAAGCCCAGTCTGTGGCAGGAGAAGATGAGATGACATGTCTCAGTTCAAGCCATGTGGCAGGGAGAAAAAGGGGAGGATTCCTCTTTTCTCTGTCTTTTCTTCTGTTCAGGCCTCAGTGGGTTCGATGATTACTACTCACATTGGAGAGGGCAGGGTTCTGAGTCCACTGATTCAAATGCTGATCTGATCTGAAAACCTTTATAAACACTCCCAGAAATAATGTTTCATCTGGGTATTCTGTGGCCACTCAAGGTGGCACATAAAATTAACCATTATAGAGATTCGATATGCAGTTATAATATCATTAAAACCAATATTTATCAATTGCTTCCTAGATGGAAAACACTGAAGAAGGTGATATTAAAATTTAATAACTTTTAAAAGGTATTTGGAATACCAAAATATCATTTTCTAAATATTTCGATATGAACTTTTAATAATAAATGTGGATTAGAAAGGTTTTGATATGAACCACGGATTTCAGTGCAACAAACCAGTAGCAATATGAAAAGCATTTTTATATTGAAAATCTAATTATTTGGAGAAAATATTGAGGATTCATAAATCCCAGAACATGTAATATATATTAATTGTAAAATTTATAATGAAACCTGACACGGCCTTGCTTTTCTAATTCTGTAAATCAGGTATTTGATCAGATCAAATTATTTTGTTGTGATAGTTTTTAGATGAAGAAGTTACCAACTCTTCTTTTTCACAGTTTTATCTGGATTTTTATAGAAGAAAGTAAAATCTTCCATTACTATTTCACAGAATTGGAACTTGGGAAATGTGTATCATGGGAAACTAACTTCTTTCCACAAATAAATTGTTCTGGTTTTTCTCCTAAACCAGGTCAGAAATCAAGTTGTCTAATATCCTTGTAATTCCTCCTTTCTCCCTACCTCTATTAATTCCCTGGAATCTTGAAGGGAATAATTGCCATGTTTTTTCTCATCTGCTTCCACATACATAGGGAAAATGGGATTCTATCTGCTATTCATATATCTAGATCATTTTCAATACAAATTATTTTGTTTGTATAGAGCACATAGGAACTGAGTCTTACATAATGTGAATGCTTCACAGTAGATATGAATATATGAATAGTAAGACCACTGATAAGCCTAAAGAGACATGGATTTAATAGTACATAGCCTCTTCCACTTACTAGGTGAGCCTTTACGTAAAAATATTTTCCTTCTTTGGCTTGAAATATCTTCTACAAAACTTCAGCTCTATAAGTCTAATGTCACCTGTTACAGACTCAGTGATGTAGAGTCCACCTTCGCCTCATCCTTTGAACTGAACTGCTTAATGAACACTCATCATTTCTCCATGTTTGTCGCTTTTCAATTGATAATATTTGAAACATTTTTTCTTTTCAATTTTTTTATTAATAAATATTTAAAAGGATCATTACAAAAGAAATGAAGGCTCTGCTTGTGAGAATTAAATGAAAATGAACAATTTGAGCTGTTCTTTATAAAGCTTTTTGAAGTATTAGCTAAAAGCTTTCAAGATTTGAAGATTTGAATAAGACTGAATGAACAAACACTTGGAGGCTCTCAGAGAAGTTTATACTTTTATATGCTAAGTGACAAGAAGTTCTTAAATACTCGATCAGAGTGGGAGAAATTATATAAGTTAGGAGCAACTAAAAGAGTCATTTTAAGGTGAGGTGGGAACTTGAAAATCAGTGGGAAGCCAGAGATGGAACTTAAAGCAGGAGTGGATAAGCATCAGGGAGGAAAATAGTTTTTTCCAAGACACTTCAGACTGATTGCCGAGGAGAATGAACAGATGAGACCAGGGAGAATAAGGAAGAAATTGCAGTATAAGTCAAAGATGAAAAATTGTCAAAGTTTAAATGTGAGGGTTTTCAGTAGCAAAAGGTGCTAGTTATTGAAATGTGCCACCCAAATTGACTCACCTTAGGAGCTAAGGTGCAAGGCTAATGTGCTGGCAACAGATGGTTTCCCATTCTCTTTCAGTAAAGTGTGAAGTAGAGCTTCCTGACAGCAGGTTAACATATATAAGAGCTTCAAAAATTTATTTGTGTTTATTAGAATTGGCTACATATGTTCCTACCTTTGAATATAATCAAAGATAACTTATAAGGCTATGGCTTGTACATTTTCTTTTGTATTTTTAAAAGAAAATTGCAAAGATGATAATGGGAATAAAGATCTTATGAGATTGGTATTTGCCATTCTCCATCTGCCTTCCTGGGAAACATATTTAATAGTAGATGTGGTCTTAGGTCCAACCTGGGAGGTGAGTGAGGGTTAGGAGTGAGATAAGATTTCCCTTAACATATAACTGCAAAGTGGTTTTCTCAAGTTTCAGGGATGAGAAAACTGGGATTCATAATAGCACCGTAACTTGTCTAGAGCCTATGGCTAGTCACAGTGGACCATGATTGCAGTCTGTTGCCCTTTTACGCTTCTATTTCAAAACGTCTGATAGCATCACTGAATCTTATTCTTAACATTTCCACCATGAATTTACATCATCTTTCCTTGGTTCTTGTTACTAGGAGTTATTGACAACGAAGATACTTTTCTCCTTTTTTATGAATATTTTAGCACTTTGCTAATATATTTACAGTCTTTAATGTTTAGAAATTCAATTTGAGCCTTTTAACACCATGGCCTTAACAATTCCCTAACTTCTCACTCTCAGTAATTTGCTAAGCCCTGTTGATTTTCTTTTTCAAAATAGACTTTGTTTTTCAGAAGTTTTAGGTTCACATCAAAACTGAGCTGAACCTTCAAAGATTTCCCATATAGCCTCCGCCCCCACACTTGCATAGCCTCCCCCATTATCAGTATCACTCACTAGAGTGATAACATTTGTTACAATACATTCACACATCATTATCAGCCAGATTCCACAGATCAGTTTCAGTGTTGTACATTCTGCGGATTTGGACAAATGTATAATGACATGTAATCACAATCATAATATCATACAGAGCAGTTTCACTGACCTGCAAATCCTCTGTGCTCTGCTTATTCATCCCTCCCCCACCCCCACCCCTTGCAACCACTGATCTTTTAACTGTCTCCACAGTTTTGCTTTGTTCAGAATGCCATATAGTTGGTATCATACAATATGTAGCCTTTTCAGATTGGCCTTCTTTCACTTAGTAATAGATATTTAACTTTTCTCCACATCTTTTCATAGCTTGAAAGCTCATTTCTTTAGCACTGGATAATAATCTATTATCTGAATATACCACAGTTTATCCATCTGTTCACCTGCTGAAGGACAACTTGGTTGCTTTCAAGTTTTGGCAATTATGAATAAAACTGCTCTAAACATCTGCGTACAAGTTTTGTATGGACGTAAGTTTTCAACTGTTTTAGCTAAATATAAAGGAGTGTGATTGCTGGATTATATGACAGGAAAATATATATATATATATATATATTTTTGGTAAGAAACCATCAAACTGTCTCCAAAGTGGCTATACCATTTTGCATTCCCACCAGCAATGAATGACAGTCCCTGTTGCTCCACACCCTTGCCAGTATTTAGTGTTGTCAGTGTTCTGGGTTTAGCCTTATTGGTTTTACTTTTCTCTAGGCATGTAATTCATAAATCCTTCTATTCATTGACACTGTCACTACTGTAGTTCAGAATAAAATATTCTTTCCTTAGGACTAGTTCAGGGGTCTTTAACAGTCTACCTGTCTTTCATAGATCTCTCTGTCTCTCTGTCTCTCTGTCTCTCTGTCTCTCTCTGTCTGTCTTTCTCATTCAACTTATATAGTGCTGTCAGATTCATTTGCTAAATATCAGGTCTGGTATTTTGTGATTCTGTTCAATAGCCATTAGAAGTTTTTGTCTAATAAATAAAATTTCTTAGCTGGGATAAATGATTTTTTTTTTTAAAAAGAGATTATAGTAACACCATTGAAATCAAACAATATTGAGGAATAAGATATAGAACTATTACAAAATACCTTCATATAAACCTATTCATTGTTATTTCTAAGAAAAGTCCTCAAGAAGAAAACTAATTTTAGAACTAATTTAGAAATGGACCATATTCAATAGCATTTTTTTCATCTAAAAAATTAGTACAAGTATATGATTAGTCATACATATGAATATAAAGTGTAAATAATATCCAGTTTTGTTAAGTAGTCTTATTTATACAAGCAGGCTATTTTATTAATATAGTTCTCTGATTTTGCATATATGTTTTTATTTATATATTTTATACTTGAATACATACAAACTATATAAATGCATATAGCATCAATTTATTATGGTTGTCATTTTGCAGAGATAATTTGATTCTCCCTATTTGAAAAATTGACAAGCATATGTCTTAAGAATTAATATTCAGCGGTAAGTAAGAACATGCCATTGGTTTGTTTTCTAGTAAATGAAACATTCTCAGAAAGACCAGAGTATGGTTTCTAACTGTTTTTTTTAATATTTTCTATTTGTAAGGTAAATAAGATTTGTGGCCGTCCAATCAGAACACCCACACAAAGCCCCCGTTGTTCTTTTAATGGGAGCAAAGAGAAGCATGGAATGAAGATCTCTCCAAGAAACGGTGAAGAGACACTTGCCAGCAGAAGAAAGTAAGACATTTGTTTTACAACCAGAAAGAGAAAATAAAGTAAGCCATTAATTTTACAACAGAACAGAATATATTCAATTAAGTAGAACAAAATACACCTTTGAAAAATCAACATTAATTACCTTTAAAATTCAGTGGTTCTTCCTTTTTCCATTAAGAAGATAGGTTGAACTTTTGAGACCAATGCAACTGTTTGTGATAAGGGACATTTTCTATAATACAATATGGCAGGTCCTAGGCATATATAATCATTGTGCACTTAAAAGGTTGAACAGCAGATCAGAACTTTTTCATCTTGCTTAACTGCAACTTTATGCCCATTGATAGTAATTCCCCATTTTTTCCTCCTTATGGTCAACAATATTGTAATGTATACTAAAAAATTTGTTAATAGGGTAGATCTCATAAGTGTTCTTACCACAATAAAAGGAATTAAAATGTAGCTAGTATGACTGAGGATTGAATTTTTAATTTTATTTTTAAATTAATTTTGACTAAATTCCATGTAGCTAGTGGCTACTCTATAGGACAATGTAAGGCCAAAAGAGTATACAGGTAAATGATGCGATGAATATTATTGAAGGTTAAGCATCTGTTAAAAAAAACAATTGATATAAAGAAGTTTTCATACCTTTTACCTGAAATGCTGAACATGGCTGTCTGTTGATTCAAAATGATAAGCATCGAGTGGCTTACTTTTATAGCTCACATTTCTAACAATGTGCCCATCATTATTTCACAGGTTAAATCAAAGCCTTCATTTGTGTTCCTTTGCTTGGTAATTGGCAATTAAACTGAAAAAGTCTTAAATTTGGAGGAAACTATTATTTTAGTTATTTTTGTGTTCAGTTGACCAGAGTATGCCCTGGCAAATACTAGATTCTCAGTGCATGTTTTTGAAGTGAACTAAAATTCATAATCCTACATTTAATTATTCAAACAATTATTTCTAATAATAACTTATAGAGAATTCAGTATTTTATATAGCTTTACTCTCTGTAATGAAAAATGAGTTTCATTGCTTTTGGGACAGTACTCCACTCCTAATTGCCTCATTCTCTTCTCAGATAGATTATAAGTGTGGGATAAAGATCTGGGCTATTGCTGGTTATTTGCTATGGCATGAAGAAATTAGCCTTTTGCATGTGAAGTAGCTATTCTTTTTCTCTATAAACATCTGTTGTGATCAGCATACATTTCTTACCTTTGAGAAATCAGTATACTTTGAGTAGAGTGGTTCTTACAATAAAACCCAGGTAGGGAAGATCTTAAGTTCTTAAGGGAAATATCTGTTTCACCACACAAACAAACCAGTTATTGGAAAACCAAAACACAATCCAACACTTAACATGATTTATTTACTAGCAAAAAACTAAGCCAATGCAAGTGAAATAATAAAATATGGTTCAAGAACAATGTGGGGCTCATGTGAACAGAAAGTTTTATAAGTATCTATTCTGGTCATTGAATAGACCTCCTGTAACCAGTCTTGCAAACTCATTATTTTTACGTCCCTGACCTGCCAGTGAATCAGGGTAGATCCTTCACAGGCTAGTCTTATGCCATGCAAAGTGAACACCAAGAGATACTGCAAAGGAACCCACGTAAGCATTTCATTTTTACAAATTTTTTATTGCTACTCCTGAATGGAGTGTAATTGCTGTGGTAGTATATTTCTGCTTGACGCCTATATATTGAGCAGACCTATCCATAAACAACCCGAATTTTATGTATGCTTCATTAACTGATAATTCCCCATGAATTTCAATTGCAGTAAGTGGGGGAAATGTAGAATTTCAATTGCAGTAAGTGGGGGAAATGTAGAAGGAATAAGTGCTCAGCGAGTCTGGGCTTTTGTCCATGCATCTTGTAATTTTTCTACCAGCTTGAGCCTAATTTCTAATAGATCACTTTCACTTGATGATATAGTGCTTCTATGCAAGCGTTATCTTATAGCATGATAGATCATATAGCACAGTGGTCCCCAACCTTTTTGGCACCAGGGACTGGTGCTCTTGTGAGAATCTAATACCTGATGATCTGAGATGGAGCTGAGGCAGTGATGCTAGTGCTAGGGAGCGGCTACAAATATAGATGAAGCTTCCCCTGTTTGCCTGCCACTCACCTCCTGCTGTGCAGCCTGGTTCCTAACAGGCTACTGACTATTACCAGTCCTTTGGCCAGGGATTGGAGACCCCTGCATAGCACTTAGTTCATCATGGGCATCTCAGGTTGCAGAGTCACTTGCTAGCTCATGGTCAAGTATGAAGTTTCTATCAGCACCCATTTGCAAACCAACCTATCAATCAACCCACCAACCCACCAAACAAACAAAACAATTTTGAGCAAAAAAAGGAATGACTTTACTCTAAAACTCTTGATCGTTATTCTATGAGTCTTCAAAAGGGGCTTTTCCATCTCTGTAGAGTGTCTTTATTGACCACCAGTACTTCAGGCACCATTGACTGGATGAGCTGGGTCATCTGGACTAAACATTAGAGCTGCTTACAAAACACCAAGCTACAGGAACTTTTTCATACAAAAGCTTTTTTGGACTACTTTATAAATTGGTTAGGACAGCACACCCAAGTGTGTAACATATTTTATTTAATATGCAAATGGACCCTAAAAGCACTGTGCCTCTTCCTGAGTGCTAAGTCATCGTAAGTGCAGAAATTTGCCTTTAATATTAGAAGAAAATCCCAATAAGAGCTAGACTTCTAGACATTTAGAAACCCTGCTGAATTGTCAAGCACTAGAAATGTCAATATTTTTTCCCACCAGAGGCATACACATGTCTACCAAGGCATCTAGGATGATGTGATCAATATGTTATCAGCATGGTGTCCTGAAGGATGCTCCCATGATCAAGGCTCCTGTCTATCATGGAGTAGGAGAATTGCCCTGGGGTTTAATAGTGAAGGAGTTCGTGCCAGCTGAAAGTGAAATATTTCTAATTGTCTTTACTGATTGATAAAGAGATAACGTATTTGCTCAAGTTTTAGCTAGATGGTAGGTGGCGGGACATATTTCGATTTGCTCTAGCAGACACAATATACAAAGGAGAATGTAATTGTAATCACCTTCTAACTCAGTTTTTGATAAGCTAAACCATTCTCCAAGTCTACCTCAGTGTACATAGACCAGGCAAACAAGTGAACGGTGAAGTGTTAGGATCACCACCATGACATTTTTTCATGTCTTTGATGATGGCCTTAATCATAGCAATTCCCCAGGGATATGATATTCTTTTATTTTACTATTGTTGTTTTTGTTTTGAAGAATTTTGTAAAATCTTGTAAGCCCCTTTATTTACGCTTGTTTTTCAACATTTTCTTAGATATTTGTGGAATTTATTTTTCAAATATATTTTATAATCTTGAATTGTGATTGGAGTTACATTGAATAAATAGATTGATTCAAACAAAGATATGTTTATAATATTGTATGTGGCCATTTTTCTGAGCGCCATTGCAATGGTAGGTCAGTTGATAAGATTAGAATTTCTACATGGATGATCATATGGTATACTCCTCGTACAGCCATTCTGGCAGGGAGCTTGCACCTGGTAAAACTCATGTACTCTATGCACTTGTCTACCTTCTTAAGAAGTATCCTAGAAAAACTCTTCCTTGTATCAATATGAGGCATTCTTAAATATTTATGGTAGCTGAGAGTTAGAGGCAAGCTATATATCCATAACAAGAAAAATGGAAAAGTGAAATGTAAGACTTTGGAACATTATGAAGCAGTCGGAAGAAAAAAAAAATTTTATCTAGTATCAAAAGAAATCATTGTAATTATAGAGAGAAACTATTAAAATGAATGAAATAATAGTGTAATACCATTTTTTATAAATTAAAAACCAATACATAAAAATAAGTATATGTTTTTTGAGAAAAGGATATGGCAAAGTACTTACATTAAATAAATTAAAATGGTTATTTATAAAAGGACAGGAAAGGGGATGATGAAGAAAAAAATGAGGTGATAAACTAAATAAATATTCTTTTTCAAGGCTAAGTTATGATAGTATGCCAGGAATTGAGAATTCTGCTTAATTTAATTTTCTGTACCAGAGAAAATGTGTGTATTTGAGGTGTGTATGCACGCACATGTGCACACGCACATATACTATTATTTTAAAGTTTAGATGAAAAGTGTTTTTTTAAATCACATTTTTCTAATGAAAAAATATAGTTAAGACTCCCTCAGTCAAAATTTTCATCAGAGCTAGTGATACTCAATTTTTCAATGTTCTTTTATTTTGCCACTTTATATACTAATCATAGATAATTTTTCATTACAATGTATAGTAGATATAGTGATTAGATAGAGATAAAATTCAATTTTCCAAGAAGAGTTGTTGGCTTGTTAGGATTTACTACTATAATGCGTTAATTTTTAAAAGCGAAAGTTTATTGTAAAAGAAGACAAAGGCAAAGAGATGATTTTTAATTGAGCTATCCAAATCATTAACAAAACCACTAATTTGTACAATTCTTTAAAAAGTGAAGTTAAAAAATAACATTTCCTGAGTTAGATTTTTATTAATTTAGCATTATATCTATGACAGCTTTTCTTATATTTTCATTATTTACTTTGAACAATTCTCATGAGAATACCTGTAGTAGAAACTACTTTCTATAAACTTAAACCAATATAAATTATTTTTTTAAAATTGTGTAACAAAAGAATTTGTTTTTATAGCTTAATATAATAGCTACTTTTTTCTTCTTTTGTACAGTCAATAGTTATTATGTGATGATTAATCAATGTTTATTTTTTTAATTGGAACGTTTAGCTCCTTTTTTACAGTAGTATATAGTATTGTGAAGTACTTGAGTTTAAGGCTACAGTCTTGTTCTTTGTTTTCTCATTACCCTTTTTAAATTTTTTTTTTAATTCTTCATTACCTTTTTTGGAGTTAAGCAGGTACTTATTTATTTTTTGTCCTCATAGCTTTTTGGATTAGCATTTCTTTTTTTTTTTTTTAAATGA